ACAGTGGCTCACCGATGCCAATGACATAATTACCCAGCTACATTTCTGAAAGAATGCAAAAGCATTGACATATATTTTTCCTTCCTATGATAGCCCGACGGGCAGAGCAGAGACAGATTCTGGTAGCCCGACTGGAAAAATCGCTAGCCCCGGGACGTCGGGCTAGCGATTTTGCGAGCCCTGCAAAGCATTGTTTTTTGGTAATTGGTGCATTTTCTAATTTAAGGCTTTTTACCAATTGCTACCTTCTTTTATTTCCCCCACATATCAACATGTGGTGTCAATTTCACTACCACCCCCACCCCACCCTTTTACAATCATCTACGATACATTGCCCAATTAGAGTTTAGCGTGGTCAGCGAATTAAAATTAAATTAATTGCCATCAAGTCATGGACTCGTTCATGTGAAGATGTGAGGAAAAGATGAAGAGTCGATTAAGACTGCGCTAATGTGAAGTATTAATCCCGTCCAATTAGCATTGCCACGAAAGCAGAGAACACCTCTCTGTCTTAAGGGCCTTTTTGTTCTATTACTTACAAAGCAATTAATTAGTCAGTACTTCTTTAATTCTTTAATTAGAAAGTCCTTTTTTAATTTGACACATTAGCAGGCAAACACCAACACTTACTCAAATTACTGTTTAATTATAGCACATCCTTACATAAATGCATGCACGCGTATACACAGCGCGTCCCTCCCTGTGGTCAGTGTTTGTGTGAGAAAACTGTGTTGGAGCTGTGATTGGCAGCCTGTGTTGGCACGGTAACAGACAGTCAGGCGCGTACACACAATCTCACCGGAGCATTTTTTTTTTTCTGCTGCAGCTGCCTGACCTCCAAACAGGCCTGACAACCAGAGCCTGAGGACATGGCAAGGTAATCGAAAACAACAAAGACTGAACTAAGCTACTCTTTTCCATACGGCCACCAAATAATAGGATTATGCAACAATTCACATTGCACTTATTTGATGTTGGTAGAGGAAGACTGAGGGGAGAAAGGTAAGAAATATAACTGTTGTGTCAAAGCACTCCTAAGTGAAGGGGGGTATTCTCCATTTGAGGTTACAAACTCTTGCATTTAGAAATTTGACTTGGCTGAGGGCAAAATGAGGATTTGAGACCATAGAGCAATCCTGCAGCAGGTAGCTGCTGTTAGTACCTGGAGGAAGGCTGGCTCTCTTCCTCTTCTTGCTGTTTTCTGCAGTGTTTTCCAAGGGAGGACAGTCGGTCACCAGCTGCCCGCTGGAACCGTTGAACTGAAGAGGGTCGTTGTTGGCTGCTGGATCAAAAGGCAAAGCGTTGAGTCCTGCAAAACAGACAAAAACAAAATGCCACAATACATTAAATTAAATAACGACTCTTCGTTTATTTAAAATGATGTGAGATAAATGAGATTACAAAAAAAGTGGAAGATATATAGAAAAAAAAAGTCACTAAAATGTTCCCGTTCTGGGCGTGACACTGGAAAACAAGTCCAAATATCTTCCAGTCACACTGGACTCCAACCGTTTACATGTTAAAAGTTGTAAAATATATATATATATATTTAAAATGTAATCAGTTTAGACCATTGCTACAGTCAATAGCAGATGGAATAACACTTAAATAATTAACCCTAATCAGGCTGATAAAGCCCATTCTCATTGGTACAGCGATCTAGAAAGCCAACTGGGCTACACTGATAAATTAGTATTTCTGCTGAGATTCAAATAGCCGAGGTTTATGGTTTTATAATGGTGTTAATTAAAATGTGCTCGCTCTTTAAGAAAACAAAACCAAAACTAATATGGGATTTTATTTTCTAGGTCTTCGTTTCAGTTGCTCACTTGCAGGCAAAAATAGACGACGATACGCTGGACGCCTGACATATGAATCAATATTTTGTGCTTGCCTGGGCAGACGGGCACGTGCAATGCTTCCTTCTCTTCTAATCAAGGTCAGTTTTAACAAGGCCAGAACCTAATAGTAGAAATAAGAGTGTGGTGAAGACAACTTTTTCCTTAGTATCTTTGTTTTGATCATACGAGACAGTAAGAACACTTGAATTAATCTGTATTTATCACTAAATTATTATGAGATTCCCCCCCAAGTCCTAATGAATGAAGGCCAACTTTACGTGTATTCTTGGCTTAATGTATCATTTATTCTGCGCTCTTTAAGGATGAGGATTTATGCATTAGTTCATAATTCAGAGCTGGAGAGACTCCGTCTTAATTCATGAAAAATTCATGACACTTCTTTGTGCTCAGATTTGTTTTCCCTCCACGGCAAAACAGAGCAGAAACCCCACGTTACTGTGGCTCTATTACAGGTCTGAGAGACACTAATCAGTTTGTATCAAACTCAGGAGTAGCTACAGACATTCATTTTTATTTTTAAATTGTGCACTGAAACTGTTGTAGCCTTGTTTTTTAGCCCATCAAACACTCAAGACTTCAGGGTGATGCTCTAATGATGCAGCTTTGAAGTAGTAGTTTAATTAAGGCTTTTACAGCTAACGAGGTTACTGATACCTTTGTCAACTGTGTCAACTTTTCATGACTATAATCTGTCAACAACAAGATTGACCAGTAGCTTATATGTGACTAACAACTGACATAGACAAAGAAAAACTGAGATAAATCAAGCCTCACTTTTATCAAATTTCCCCTTGAATTTTATAAATCTATCAAGGTACTGGAAGTAGGGATGGGTATCGAAAACAGGTTCTTGTTGAGAACCGGTTCCCACTGTTTCAATTCCTTGGCATTGTTTGTCATTTTTGCAAACGATTCTCTTATCGAGTCCAGTCGCCCCGAATGACGTCACCACGTTGCGGAGCGTCATTTACCTGGCAGGAAACATGGCGGCTCAAACGCTCAAAAGTTTGGTCATACTTTACGAGAACAGATGACAACAGGGCAACTTGCAATACTTGCAAAATGGATATTTAATTTAAGGGAGGAAACACTACGAATATGCAAAAGCATTTGCTCACAAAACACACGATGACCTTAAATAAACGTCGTGTTTTTAATTCCGCTCCGGACTCGTGAATCTCAACCCAGCAGCAGCGGTAACGTTTGCACGTCCTCTCCCGTTAATACGGCAGGGAAATAATCAACAATAGTGCAGATTATGTTAGCGCGATCTGCCTTATTACAAACCTGCCATTACTGTGCATTTAGGTGACCATGATGAGAGAGACAGACAGAGTCTGGCTCAGATGCTGGCAGTTGTCGCTGCAGTCTACCGTAGCGTCTCCTTTCAGGCAGGATAGACGAATGTCAGCGAGCAGAGACTCAGTTTGTGGTCAAAGGTTTGCAGCCGTTTGCCACAGCAGATGATTTTCAGTAAGTGAATGTGTTTAATTGTAGGCAGGGACATTACTGGATATTCTTGTGTAATTGCTACAGAAAAATTTATGTTATACTTTGTTATTGCTACAGAAGAATATTTATTTTATTATTTTACATTTACAAGTTTTTTCCTGGGGACCCTGTGACGCCCCATTGAAGAGCCGTAGGCTGTGGATCTCTTAAGATCTCACTGTTGGGTTTATAAGGCCATGTCACTCCTAAATTTCTATCTTGTTCAAAGAGAAGATATAAAACAAATTTCTAAGATATCGACCTTAGTGTTCTCCTTTTTAAAAAAGAATCGATAAAGAATTGAATCGTTAAACAGAATCGAAAATGAAATCGGAATCGTGAAAATCTTATCAATACCCATCCCTAACTGGAAGTGTGCAAACTCCTATTCTGTTACATAAACAATCAGTTAAATAAAAAAAACAAAACAAAAAAACAAAACAGAAAAGAAAAGAACCATAGGATCAAGTCTGTTAGAAAGTTAATGCCACGCTTGCAATTCCAGCAATAAAACATGAAACGAGGCCTTAAAATACTTTAAATCTGTGCATGGGAGATTTCTCAGATTTAGGCATTGGGGCTGTATTTTCTGCATAGTCGGTCTAAGTAGAGTAGTGTGTGTGTGTGAGCGTGCACGCACAGAACCCTCTTAAGTCAATCTCTATTCAACATCCATCTGTCACACGTCTTTAAAGATGACCGTCAATAGTCCAGAGAGCGAAATAAATGCATTCCTCTGCCAATGTTAACTCTGTCACCAATAAACAGCAACAGTTTACATCTGAAGAGATGAGACTTTTAGTCATGCGCTTGTGAGTTCCCAAGCGAAAGGCAAAGGGTAGTTATGGAAAAAGTGAAGCTTCAGTGGTCACAGTGTTACTGCCGATCCAGATGAAGGAAAGAGCGTCACTTTAGCTCACAGTGGTGAGCTTCTCCAACAATTTTACAAGATTTGTTCCAATACGGGAAAAAAGGAAAATATGGTGCAAAGGTGAATGAAAATAGGCAAATCTGTGGCACTCAAACTGTTGATTTTATTTGATCTAGAGTTCATGACAGAATGATCCAAAGGACTTAAAATGTAGGGCTGGGCCATATCATACCGTTCACAGTAACACCGGTATAATGTTGGGCAACGATAAGAAAATGAAATATGGCGATAGAATATGGGTAAAACGCGCATGCGCAGTGCCTTTGTTTTCATATGCACATGGAGGAAAAAGCATGGCGGCGACGGAGAATGAGAAGAGCGAAAGCGGATCGTTG